TGAGATCTACATCTAAAGAAAATGAAAAACACATCAATAAACGCAACGAGACGGTTTATATGCTGACTGAGGGAATGAGAGGTGGTTCTCAGAGAGACATCTTTATTGAAGTTATTCTTTTTTTCCACAATGAGGTGAGAGATACTGCTTACCTGCTATGTTTGCTCGTTGTTTTTTTTTTTTTGTTGTTTTTTCGTGAGGCTCGGAGAGGATCACTATTTCACTTTAAACTTTTTTTTCTCCTTATGAAGTTATTTCCTTTTCCGAGGGTTAGGGTTAGGATTGATAGACTGCGGCTTCTGTCCCTCATGTTTTTGCCAGGCTTAATGAGGATTACAACTTTATTTGTTTTCAGTCCTGCTGAATTCATATCAAAGTATCCTTTTTAAATGTTGCATTGATTGTTATGCATGTGTCTGTCCTGCTTGCTATGTACACAATGTACAACTTCAAAAAGTGACTGTGTTCCCTTATGATTAAAAGATCCTATTTTGTATTTTCCCCAAAAGTGAATGTGTTTTACTTTGTGACTGCATCTCTCTTCCTGTTAGACGTATGACATTGGCACTTAATTGCTGGTTAGTCTGACTGAAATAGACCTGGGGTCTATCTTGGTCATACCTATGCAAGCCCTCCTTGCATAAAATCATGCCGGGTGGGATCTTCCCCATTGACTTTCTGTGAGCAGTAAACACTACGACCGACACGAAAATCAGATTTGATACGTTCTGGCATTAAGTTGACACCTAGGATGCACTTTACATTGGCGAGAAAAAAAATAAAAGAAATCAGCTATTTTATTATTAGTTTTTTAAAGAAATTAATTCATCATAATTCCTTAACTATTGGGGCTTTAAAACACCATTTTAGTTTTCCATCTTGATTACCTAACGACAACTTTGCAAAATATCTCCTGTTTGTTGCTTCTTTAGTTTCTATTACTGATAGCAGTATTCAGGATATAAGTAATTTCAGGTTGACTGGTGGTTCACTTTGTGGCTATCCTGCCTCCAGCCTAAGGCAGGGGGGGTGCAGTGGAGAGGGAGCTGCTGCACCAGTCAATTACCAGTTAATAAACAGTGGAAGTTTTCTATTAGTGCTTGTTAGTGCGTGTAAAAGATTGTTGGTATGTGGAATTGGGGGAAGGTAGTGTGACTTTGGAATTAGAAAAAAAAGTGCAGGCATAATTTCTTTCCGAGTTCTGTACACAGCACCCAGTTCACTGGCTGTTTATTGAGATAGTATTTTTTTATTAGATTTTCATCATGTTGTACTGTGCAGTGAAAAACATTTGCTCATACACATTTTTTTGAAATTACCCCAAAACGTTTGGTCAGGACTTTCACATGAGGCAATATTTCACTAAGTGACTCTAGAAAACTATTTCCAATAAATCATATATATTGCATAGGAATCATGGAGGCCTTCAATGCAGCTGTTTTTGTAGTTCATCTTGTCATTAATAACATTAAAAGTCTCCAGTTACTATGATGCATTTATGCTTTATAGGAAGCAGTTAACACAAATCCCTTATAGTTGTTCCACATATCGCAAAGAAAAAAAAAAGATTTTACAGTGCTTACAGTGGGAAATTGCTGCAAGGAAAAACAGTGCAACTTAGTAGCCTTGGGAATTGAAACAACCTTAATTGGATTTGGGGAAGCCATATTTACCAAGGGAGTTCTGCTCTGACAGTCTGAAAGCCAAAAGCATGATTCATTAAAAATATTTCCTGTCATATCAGACCACAACCAATAACTATTGCTACTCGCTGATGCTGACATACTGTGCCAAGGGGTACACCTGTATTGGCAAAGTCTACAGAATGTATAAAAAATGTTAACAATAAATGGCCCTGCCCTAAAAGATTGATATTTAATTTTATAGGTTTATTTATCTTGCAGACAAAGAGTTAACTTTACTGAATGGATATCTTAAAACCAGAATTTGGAATAAGTATCTCTTGAAATGATAACTTTTTCTAAATTCTCTTATTGCTATTTATTTCATTGATGACCAGCAGAAGGAGGTTCACTCTTCCTGTATATTAACGCATTATAAATTGAGTCTCTACTCCGAGCCTGTTTCGCTTCCAATACAGGTAGCTTTTTCAATTCGAAACGTCAGAAATAGCGTAACGAACAATTCCCTCCAACAACCTCCCTTTCAAAGACATAGAAGGATATTGGGTGTTACAGGCTAACAAAGAAACCCAAATGGCCCCCATTCCTTAGGGCCCATTCGTCCCGTTCAATTTGCATGTTTTCTAAGCCAGGACAGGGCTTTGTTTCTGGTCCACTCTATAAAGCCTCAAACTCAACGCTCAGTGGATTGTTTTTTTGTTTTTTTTTACTTTTTTGGAATGATTCTCCTGTCCAATCCTTTCCTTTAAATCCTGTTCCCTGAAGTCCTCTTTGAAACTTTCAAAGCTGGCTTACAGGCTCACCTTTCTTGGTCATTGTTCGCCTACAAGGAGCTATCTTTTCTCTCTCTGCCTCACACTTAAAGTTCTGGAGTTGGACAGTTAGGCTATTTTAAAAACGAGACCCACCAAAGACTTTGGAAACGCTTAGATGTCATTGATTTTTAAATGGAGCAACACTGATTCAATATTAGCTTTGGGAATGCCTGTGATATGGGTGTTGCTTTAGGGTTGCATTTCCTGTGTGCCTGTTGATATAATTAGCACTTTCTCAGGTTGAAACTATTTCACAGGCTTTGTTGTTATCCTCACCCTGCTCTTTCCACTGGCTATTTAAAGAAGAGTCGAGTAAGTGGACCAGCAGTTTACTGTATTGATCGCGGTCATTACTTATGTTTTAATGTGAGCCGTATCAGTCACAGGGTTTATGTTATAATGTTTTTTTCTTTAGTCTTTGTGACTATTCTTTTAAACTAAAGCAATAAAAAATTATTTTTAAAGAAAAATAAAAAAGGTTCCATATTTCAATGCATATTAATGTTCATTAATGGCAGTGTTTGCATTCTTTATTCTGTTAATTCAAATAAGGGGTTATTGAAAAGCAGCTAATTTATTATTTAATGTAAGAAAATAGCTTTTAAATACCTTAAGAATCCCTGTGTACAGGGTCTCAGCGGGTCATTAAAAATAACTAAAAGTCATTGAATTATTAGTTTTTTAATTAAGGCCTTAATTGGCATTAAACTTTATTAAATGTATTTATTGTGGCATAAAAGTTTATTAAAACAATTTCTTCAGACATATTATATCACAATATATATTTGTGTGGAACTGCTTCCGGTTGATCGCAAAGCTGTATGTTCAGAAAAGAAGCTTGAGTCGGAGAAAAAGCTAGAGAATGGGGGAAAAATATCTAATTTCAACAAAAATGGCTGGAAAACAAGGAATTCGGAACATGGCTGCAGCCTGTCAACGGGTAGCTGTTGGTGGCATTAAAATTATTTCTAAGAGCATTAAAAGAGCATTAAAAGCATTATGTTAGAGTTATTCATTCCTGTATAAAACCTGGTATAGCAACTTTCCATGGCTACGTCTCTAGTATCCACAGACTAAGGCTACAATGCACTCAGATACAATGATATCAAGGTCTTTAAAGATTGGCCTACAATGCTCGGCTGTACCAGGTGACTGATAATATCTATCCAGCACTGAACTGCCAGTTCTATGGCCTATAGAGTTTCAGTCCCACTGGTCCAATCGGACAGCTCTCTTTCTGTCAACCACAGGACTTTTCTATATGGACACCATTTATGGCCTGGGCTTAATTACCTATCAAAAGACATTTCAGAGCATTTGAATATGAGAAGGGGTGGCAGGAGACAAAGAGAAAGATAACAGAGGGAAAGCATAAAAATATGTGAATGATGAGAAACAGAATTGGGAACATGGGGCAGAAGATTGATGGAGAGGAAGAGCTGTGCATCTGTGGATGGAATTTGAATGGATGTGGACAGACAGAATGAGAGAAGGAATGTTTTCCAGTGCATGTGAGGGGAGCAGCGATCTGGCCAGTGTCCTTTTTTTTAGTGTTAACAAATAACCCAAAATGGAGAGAAAAGAGGGAGGGTCTATGCTGGGGTTGTCTATAAATTGCCTGTGATTGATTCATACTGCTATAGAGGACGACAGTTAAAGACGTGGTGCTCTCAGCGCTGGTGCTCTCCACACTGTGAGTCACTCTCTCTTCCTCTTGAGGAAGGAGCAACTCACCCATTTCTGGCCTCTATTAACCCAAAAACACACAAATATTTGTCCTACATGGCCTAACTTTGCTGGTCATATTCCATAGTAGATCAAATTCCCATATAAAAAGCTCCAGGTGGCAGTTTATTGGTATACTATTACACATTTGATATGTTGTAATTATCAACCATAATAACTCTAAAGTAAGCAAATATTAAACAGTATAAATACTGATCTATATTTAGTTGGAGAATTTGACAAATGTTGGCTTATTGATAATGACAATATGTAAAACGCTGTTTTAGTTCCAAAGGAGAGAGCTATGCCTTTGCTTTTTCAAAAAAAAAAATAGAAAATATTTATATAAATCCATACATGTTAATTATTTTTAAAGATTATTTATTTAGTCTTTTGCTTTTCATCTTTATAATTCTAACTTCATAATATAACCAACCATAATCCTGACAGAATGCTTGTTTCTTTTTACTTTTAGTTTAAAAATGAAAACCTCTGTTTCAAAAGATGGAATTGAAATAAAAAGTTCTAAAACCATTATTATTTTTTTTTTTTCAAATAGAGTGGGATGTTTCTGTGGTAAAGTCAATTTTTTATTCAGTAAGCTGCTCTGAAAACTTCATTTGGTTTTGTCGGTTTCAAAAGGCTTTTGTCATAGAATTTTAAAAACACATAATAAAAGACCTGTATTTTACAGTTATGTAATGTGGCTCAGCAAGAGGGTTTTGCAACAGGGATTGTAATTTAAACTTTATAATGGAATGACACTATATAATAATCTGCTGAAATGTACAATACATATCTTTTCCCTTTCTTTCAGCTAGAGACTGCCCTTCACAACCCTGTTAACTGTGCATTGTTGGGCTTCTCTGCAGCAAGTACCTCTTTACCTCAAGGCTATCTCTGGGTAAGTTATGGAAGCCACATACCATTACCATTTAAATCTTCATTCTGTCAGACTGCTGCTTTAATGCCTCTGAACTTGTTGAAATTCAACAGAATTTGGAAAAAGGAAGGAATTCATATAGAAAATATTTTTCACTTCGTAAGTTTCTATTTTTGTCACTTGCCTCCCTGGAAAGGCCGGTTAATTTAGCAGGCACTCCTCTTTTGACCTCAAAGGCAGTTTAATCAGGTGTTGGGCCTCCTAGACTGAGACTGAGGCCCTGTGTCTCAGACTTAATTGCATTTGAGGTGTCATTCTGAAGGAGATTCACTGTTCACTAAGATAAGGAAATAACATGAATTGCATTCTTTTCCCCATTCCTGATTTTATTTTCAATATTTTAGTTCTCTAGTTATTTGCCTTCATATAAATGTTTTCCAAAACTAGTATTTCTCTTTGTTTCTGTGCTGCTTTTGGTTTTCAACTTAACTTTATGTAGATGCTTATTTTTATCACTTTATTCCTTGTTCCTGCTTATTTCATTCCATTTACGTTTTTACAGTTTAAACTAATGACGATCAGTTCAATGTAAACTGAATTGAATTACTTGATTAAAAAATTTTGAATTTGTAATACCAGATGGGACTAGCATACAACAAATTATATTTTACATTGCATGAGTGTTTAAAAAGGTCGCTGTTGAAAAACACACCTTAAGTCCTCCATTAGAGCCTTTTTTAACGTATCTGTAGGTTTGATCATAGCGATTCAGAATAATCCACCTGCTTTTGACTCCAATTACTGATTATTTCTGGAAGTACTGCCGTTTTATTTCTAAGAAATATATTTGCATGTGCAGTTATTGTTAATTTCGCACTGTAGAGCCAATTTAGTTTACTGTTATCTTTTGGGGGTCTCTTACTTTAAGTTTCCTCAGGTTTTGCTCATTATCTTTGTTCTTTCTCCACATAAGTTAGTGTAAAACATTAACCGCCTGTGAAACACATAACTGTGTGGGGGAAAATAATTAGGCGATCGAACATTATGAATATAAATGAAATAAATCAAGGATCGAGTTTGACTCAAGGATTGTTTTTTTATTTGAAAAATTAAACCATGTAAGAAAATTCCTTCTAGCCTAAATATATGGATTTGTTTGTGTGCCTTTGGGTGACGTATTAAATCCCTGTCATTTCTGTTCACTTGTCTGTACTTGAAGCAATATTTTATCTAAAAGAGCTACGTAAAATGTTTACTGTGATGTTTTCCTTTAACTTATTTTTTATTTTTTTTTTACGTAAAAATGATAGTGATTAAAACCCCAACACCCAGTGGGGTTTGGTTTCTGTCTTTGATGCAAATTGCTTTTAGCAAGACAAACAAATAATGTATTCATTTTCATTTGATGTATAAAAAGACAAAACGTGCATGCTCACAAATGGACATATGCATCACTGTGGGTCATTTGTTTAATGTGATTCAAACAATCAGGAACGCTGCTGTAAAATTATAATTGCAATCCTCATTCTCTGGACTGCTGTAGTATTTCCATTTGGGAATTCAGCAAATCCAACTTCCAATTTAAAATTAAACACAATTATTATTGAAACTCTACTGTTTTGTATCAGTTTATTTGAAAAAGGGTCAATTCATATACACTACATTATACATATACAAATTGTGCAGATACTCAAAATAAAAGATTGTTGACGAGGCTAATTTTCAATTCTCTCCCTCTACTGGGTAAAGCTGAGTTACCCACTATTAACCAGTCCCCTTGGCAACAGTTGGCAACAATCAATCAAGCTCCCTCTAAAATAGCCCTTTATTATGTACAACAAAAAGAGAAAAAACTGTCAGTAAGGGATTGACAGCTGCTGTGGACCATTTACTTTCCGTTTTTTATTTTTTGCTCAAAATCTCTTTTTAAACTCCATCAAACACTTCACTGTGCAGCAAATTGTTTTTGGTCAGCCTGTTTGTAAGCAGATTCAGACAACAAATAGGGCAATTCAATGATACGACCAGGTCTAAAGCTCAAAGGACTCACCTTCAAATAAGGGGCAAATGTTACCATTTATTAAATAAAGTAAAATACGGATATTAACCAGTTAAAACATTGTTAGACATTAACAACAGATGTCCTGCAACAAGATCTCATAAAACTCCTAGTAACAATGAACTCTTACAAATGCTTTGTCCTGTTAAAGTATTGAGAAACCTACAGTACATATTAGTGTTGATTTTGAGATAAATTGTTTGGTTCTCCAATTTAAAATTGTGTCATAACAAGTAAAAAATCTTTATAGTTATAGATTTTGCTGTCAAATATTCACAGTGCAGATTTCATGAAACTTACATGTATTTATGTCAAATATCTGGTTGTTGACAGAACAAAAATTTGTTTTTTCCCAAGTTGTTTTTTCAACAAAAAGCTCAGAGGTTTATTGAAATCTGTATCCTTTCCATACCTCGATTTAAAGGTAGTTAAATCTTGGTTTTCAAAAAGACTGAAATGTTTTACTATGTACCCATTTTAAAGTATCATGTAGTCCAAAAGTGATGTTCATGAAAAATGTTTTATAGGGAAGTTTTTCTCCAGATTTGGTGTAAGACAAATCGATGCACAAGATCCTTCATGCCCACAACTATCAGCACCTACAACCTCTGTTTAAAAATATACTTATGAGTTGCATCAACATTTGATTTCCCTTTGGGATTAATAAAGTATTTTTGAATTGAATTTAATTGAATTTGGGGTCACCCATGGAGTTACCAATGAGATCTGTTATTTAACATAAAATCCATAGATCCAGCTTTTTTATTATCATGCAAATAATTTTGTCTATTCTTTACAAATCAATATTTCACCAAACTAAAACAAAGTACTTTCCTCAAAAATAAAATATTAATGGCAATAATTTGGATGATTATAATCAAAATAGCAGTGAAGGCCTGAGGTTCCAGTATGAATAATTAGTGGCTGAGTGTTCACGCCCCCAGTTGGTTCTACCTCCCTGGCAGCCTTGTCAAATAAGGGATGACACTAATCATGTTAAAGTTAGATGGGCTATGGGGATTTCTGCATGCTTTGATCAGAGTAATGACATTGTGTCTAATCAGCCTGATACTGCAGTGTTTGCCTGAATGCCTCCACCTTCTCTGTCCCACTTTTCCTAGTCTTATAGTTTCATTTTGAGAAAGCTAATCTGATAGTGTCCTTTAGCTTCTCATCTTATTCATCTATTGTGTACAGTAAGTTCACATTTTCTGCAAGAGGTACTAGTTTATTTACCTGCTTCTATTATGCCACTAAAATGTACTTTTCTCTGTGTTTCTCTTTTATGATTTATGTTCTTGTGCAGTAATTCTCCCAGTTCTTAAATGTGCTTTACAAATACCCTTGCCTTGACTCTTGAGAAAGCATAAATGTATCAATTTTAGGGTTAGTAAATTAACTCTCGACCTGTTCATTTTTTTTTTTTACTTTATATGTAGTGAACACAGACAGCCATCTCTATCTGCTTTTGACATGTTTTATAGCAAAAGTCTAGTTTATACTAGCAAAGCATTCAGTTATTTAATTTTGATTAGTTTGGTTGATTTGGGGAACACAACTTGTTTTGTTTTTTTATACCAATGATTCGAATAAAAACGTAATATATGTTTAAAATTTAAATAGAAAAAAATATAAGAAAAGAATGTTAAAATGTATAAATGCTTTCTCTTGGCTGCTTCTGTATGAGTTTCTTCTGTGACATGAAACTGTGGTGTTTTTGGCGGGGGGGGAGTCCTTGCTGCAAGATAAGTGCTCCCAATCTTCTTTTCACCCTGTGCAACAGACCATTATTTGTTCTGGCTCATTTTCAAGAGCCCAGAGGATTGCTCCTGTCCAGATTCTGTGTGCTGATACAAATCAAACAAATGATTGCATGCAAATAAGCAGGAGCTTTGCATAGAATAGCTTAAGACTATTTTTAGCTCACAATGTCCTACTCATATGTAATTTAAACAGATTAAATAATTCTTTTCTGTTTTTACAGCAAGCATTGGATTATTTTCTATGAAAAATATACTTTTTGACCTCCTACTGATATAACAATTCAGATCACATTGAAAACCAGCATAACCCTGTTTTGCAGAAAGATAGAACAACCTTAACTGAATTTAAAATGAAAAGGGTTTGAAAATTTCAGTTTTTCCTATTTTATCCCAAAGCAGATGTATAAAAAAAATGCAGCTGTGCATAGGATGTCAAGCATCAATTAAATCTCCCACCCTCTACATCGCATGTTAATTGTCTTATAAATCCTCACGATTTTTGTACTTAATATGAAGATCATTCCATCTTCTTTGGAATTCATTTTTTTTTTTTTTTTTACTGCCTGTACTCTCATGAAAATAATTTAAACACCTGTTTCGGCCCTGAGTGGGGGAATCCTTTTCCAAATTGCTATTAAGCAGCATGGTCTGTCAGCTGCTTTTTGTTAGCATCCATATTTAGTTATTCTAAGAAAAGGATCTTAAAGTATATTGAGTGACCTTGTGGAATGTCTTACAAAAAGTCAGTTGAGTTAATTGAAAATGATTTTATTTTTATTTCGTCTCGGCCTGACTGCAGCAATATATCTTACACTTGATCTAGAAAGCCAAAAAAAACGGAAAGGAAATCTCATTGTCAAGCAGCTCAAAGCTCTTCAGAAACTTATGAGATCTTCTGTTCTTCAGTGATGAAAAGATTTTAGATCTTTAGACAATTCTTTGATCTTCATGGAATGATATTACATAATGTGTTTTTAAAGTGCTATGAAAGAGAGCAGAGGGATAATAAACGACAAGGTCTGAAAGGATTCGTGATCAAATATTTCGTTCAAACCTATATTGATGACATCTAAGTAGCATTTAACAGAAGACAAGTTCTCCTCTGACCTTCACAATTTGATGGAGAGGTGTAAAGCACAGTTCAACAATGATCAGAGAAAAACTTTTATCTGTACCTTTTTTTTCTTCAGCAAAATAATGTATGCATTACTCATTCCATCACATATTATAGTGTTGTAAAGCTTATGATGGGATTTGTGTTAACAAAACATTGATGATCAACCTTTGACTCCATCATGTCACTAAACACTTAAACTAATTTTATCTGAAGCAAACATACCATTTCTAAGAAAAAATTCTAATCCTAAAGAGAAGGAGAGCTTAGCAAAAGTTTGTAGAGAAAAAAAAAATCCCATTTTATATTAGATTGACAGAAATTGCCACCTAAAAGTATGGCAGTTCTATTTTTCAGTCACACACTATTTTTTGAGGAACAGTTATTCAAAAGATTAATCCTAATGTCGTTTGAGAAATAAAGCTGTCTTAAGATATAAAGGTTCCAAAAAATCTGTTGAAATTGCAGGTTTGTCCAAAGATCTTTTTAAAATCTTGTGATTCAAACTTTAAAATACGCTTTAAACATGGATTGAAAATTGGAAATGGGAAGGAAAATTAAATGAGGGATTCTCTAAATCTAGGAGGATATTTTATCAGTTTTCAGTGTCTGAGAACAATCGTGAAAACCTCTTATCTTTGGTTTCTCAATTTGGCTTAGAAGATGCAAAAATCATTCGCTCACAGAGTTACAAAAGTCTTAAACACAAGTATGAGGGTAAAAACATTATTTTGATTAAAATGCTACCCGATAACCTTTGTTTGTTTTCAACAGGTGGCTGGTGCGGGTGAAGCTTTTCAAGGCCATATAGAGATTTTTTCCCTCAACAGGCCAACCCCGAGGGCTGTAAAGAGCCTACAAATAAGTTCTGCTGTTAGATGCTTGGAGTATGTTCATCCACCTTCGCCGACAGAGGAAGATGATGCAGGAGCTCACAAGGCTTCCATAGGGACTGGTACCAGCATTTGTGTTGGATTAGATGATGGCCGGTGAGCATTTCTTCCCTATAAAGTGTAACAAAACTACTCTCAAAGTACTGTTTGTCTTATATGATAGAACAAAAAAAACATATTTTGTCAAACTCCTATGAAATTACCCTCCTCAAAGATTCGTTGTCAATATTTCATCAGAACAAGTTAGAGTGATAATTCTGTCACGTATCAATACTGTCACTTGTTAAACAATGTATTTCAGTATCAAATCCAATAAAGCCTTTTATAACCTTACATGGGGCATCAAATGGTTTGGAGGATAGATTAATTCTTACATTTTGGTTTTTATAAAATGCACTCTCAGATCACAGTTATTACAATTATTTTTATTTCAAATTAAATCAAGTTTTTGTTATAGATCAGAGTAAAAACACAAACAGTTGTGAACAGCTTACTTAATCTTAGTCAATGCCTTCCAGTTTCAGTTTCTATCCAGGGACACCAGAACACATGTAACGAAACCAAAATGATATATTTTGCCATTGTGTAGAAGAAAAGAAGATTCATCAGAGGTAGTAGTTCCACATGTGCAATGCTTTGTGCAGTGTTAAATTAAAACTATATGAGAATGAGACACTGTTATTTCCAATGACACTCATTTATCATATCTTGTTTTACCACTGTTGTTCTTTCAGGATTCTGGTCTATGGGAGTGCAGATGTAGCAGCCCAATACTTGCTGACCCTCCACAACCCAGACGGCAGTCCTGTACTGTGCCTGAAGCACTCCTCTCGCTTCCTGTTTGCAGGGTTGCGCAATGGAAAGGTGATGGTGTATGGCAGAAATAACAATGGTGAGATTCTCCATGGCTGCTCTCTTTAAAGGAATAGTACACCCAAAACATGATTAGCCTTCATTTTCTACTCACCTCCATGCTGAACAACACTCTGGAGTACTTTTTTGATATCTCAAATGCATCTGGAGATCTGGGAGGCTTCTTGCTGTCTGCTGACATTCAAATAATGGAGGTCCATGGCGCCCGAGACAGAAAGGTCCATAAAAGTCCACAAAAACGTGTCAATATTCCTCCATACTGCTCGTCCAATGTAATCCAAGTGTCCTGAGTGGGTAGCATCCAGAATTTACTCGAAACGAAGTCATTTAGAATGTTTTTAGAGCATAAACAGTAGTGTATAGGATTTCCTAATAGCGCCCCCATGCGCGCTCACGATTCTACGGAAGCCGGCAGACCAAACCGGAAGAAAGTGCGCATTCAGCGTCTGGTTTGCCGATACTGCAAGCGTAGAAGAAGAAATGTGCTGTTTACCTGTGCAAAGAAAGAAACAACGAAAGAAAAATGTCTGAGGACTTCAGTGTTGAGGAAGAGCATGAGTTCTTTGCCGAGCTGAATGCGCTGGTTTGGTCTGCCGGCTTCCGTAGAATCGTGAGCGCGCATGGGGGCGCTATTAGGAAATCCTATACACTACTGTTTATGCTCTAAAAACATTCTAAATGACTTCGTTTCGAGTAAATTCTGGATGCTACCCACTCAGGACACTTGGATTACATTGGACGAGCAGTATGGAGGAATATTGACACGTTTTTGTGGACTTTTATGGACCTTTCTGTCTCGGGCGCCATGGACCTCCATTATTTGAATGTCAGCAGACAGCAAGAAGCCTCCCAGATCTCCAGATGCATTTGAGATATCAAAAAAGTACTCCAGAGTGTTGTTCAGCATGGAGGTGAGTAGAAAATGAAGGCTAATCATGTTTTGGGTGTACTATTCCTTTAATACTGGCTTTGGTCTTGTTTAAGCTAGGCCATACCTTCTCTTTAGTATATTGAAAAAGGAATAAAAATATACATATACTTAGAAAAAGGTTATCTTTATCTTAAAGTGATTTTAGTATTGGAAAAGGAAAAAGAATAGTATAAATAGGGTTTTCAAAGGACAAAACTGTCTAGATGCCAGAACTCGTTCAGCCACTAAAGGTGTTATATGCAATTTATGCTTTTCCAAGTGATCATAAGTATGAAATAAATGTTAGACAGAGTGAACAAATGCTTAGTTTAAAAACATTTAGTCCATCCATCCATCCATTATCTGACATGCTTGTCCCAATTGGGGTCGCGAGGGGTGCTGGTGCCTTTCTCCAGCTGTCAATGGGCAAGGGGGGGGTGCACCCTGGTCAGGTCGCCAGTTAATCGCAGGGCAAAACATTTAGTATTCTATAAAAATAAAGATTAAAATACAAACTTCTAATAATAAAATTTTTTCATATTTATTTAAGTGAAATTATCATTGATATGGCATATTTTAAATTGGTTTCATCATTTGAGCCATCAATGTCTTGGTTGTTGAGAGTTTTCCAAAGAACCAATAAATATCTGCACAATAATTTAACAACCAAAAAGGAAAAAAAATTCAAGTGTTCCTTTTGACTACTTCAACTCTAGACCCTACAAAAGCCCACAAGAAACAAAAACTAAACAAAAATTAAATATTGGCATGTCTGATAAGCCTTAAAAATAACGTCTTTAAAATGTTTGCTTCTGTTTAAAAATGTTGTAAGTTCTAAGTTGCAAAAAAAGGTTGGTTGGGAAAGGGAAGCTTTCTTTCTACTTAAAAATCCTCTCCATGAGGTTTAACACTTTTCACTTTCAAGTTATACAAAGAAACAGTAACCAGAAAAATATGGTAAATATTTATTTTTTATTATGACTAAGAAAAAATAGAATAAATAATGTAGAGAGGTGTTTCTTTCCTTAAAATATTGTATTTTACCATTCAATGCTAAACAATAACTAGAAATGAAATACCTTGAGCCTGAAATATTTCTTTGTAAATATATAAGCACAATGCAATAAAAGCTGAATATTACTGTCATACATGTTTTGATACGTTTCTAGAATTACTGCATTATTTTGCAGCTGCAAAAACTGCTGGCTTTAGATTACTTTTATTATTATCCTTTTGTCTTTCCTGCAGCATGATTTTTCACACCCACTGCAAATATGAACGTAGCACTTCACCATGTGGTAGGATGGCATGCCATGTTTAGTCAGGCGTTGCACAAGGCCAATGGGGCTTAACACCATCTCAGCAGAGGTTTGCAGTCTTCTGAGCCAGCAGGAGTACAATAGCTCTATCAGTGGGTTCCTTTTACCTGGCCAAAGTATGTCAGCGTGCCTGTCTCCCTACTGTGCTCCCCTCTCCTCCTTAGCAGAGAGAATGATTAATTACACCAAGCTGCTGCATGCTGATTAAATATTACTATTCATGTTTTATAGATATACGTTATATAAAAAAGGACAGAACAAGAGTTCCCGAGGGTGTTATAGAATGTTTGTGGCCTTGACACATCTGTTAAAGTTTCATACCCATACCATCTGTGGCAACCAGGAAATGCAAAAAGATTTCCTGACACTTGCACAAAAACTATTTTTAGACCTACACATCATATTGCTGTTTTATTATAGGTTTGGTTAAACTTTTTTCTAAGATATGTAAATAGAGTTTAAAGTGAAGTGAGAAATTTGGTTTAATGCTACAAGCCTGGTCTATATGTTAAAGATGAAGAAATGCTGTCAAGCCCTTGGTTAACAGAGGACCAGAAGAGCATTTGCAAGTTTGAATTTTGAAAAGGTGGGAGAATGACCTTTAGAACATGCCAAACAATTAACCTGTAGAAGTCAGACGGTATTGTAAAGCTATTCTTCTATGAAAGCCAGAAATAAACAACTCAAAATGTTAATTAAATGGCTGAATACCCCCTTTTTTAATGTCCTTTCATTAACACACAGCAAAAAAAAAGGCTTGCATGATTCAGTATCAAATAGGTCTTTGTGTTACCTAGAAGGCCTGCTATTCTGATTAGGATTCCAAGAAAAAGGTCCTCTTTATTTTCACACCGATAAGGCAAAAGGATCTGACGAGACATTCAGAATTGAGGTTCTTTTCACACAAGGACAGGACCTGGTGATAACACAGGTGGGGAGTACATTAAAGCGTACTTGAGACTTATTAGCATGTAGATGGTGGGGAAGCAAATGCTGTTCTACACAGTGTGGGATGATTTACAGTCTCTTTTTTATTCAAATAAGACTTCAGTTGTATTCAGTCCATAGCCAATGTTCTAAAGCAACACTTTTTGTTAAATGAAAATTAAGAAAAAAAAAACTCTTCAAAATTTGAACTGAAAACACTTCAAAATTTATTAATCTAGTAGAAAATCTCTTTTTATTTTATTATGAAATTTGCTTACCGTCACTGGTGGCATGACTTGTACCAAACTGCATACATCTATATGACAATTATCACAATGAATGTTACAATAAGGGCGTATTTTTATACACCATAAACTTGCTTGGATTACAGCATGCTATATTTTTACATCTCTTCATCTTTTATACAAAATGGGTTATTTTGTTCTGGCAGATGATCTTTGGGATCCTGATTCTCCACGATGTATAAGTTTGGGAGTAGAGCCAGTTCGGACTTTGCTGGTGCTGGATGAATCTGTGTGGGCAAGCTGTGGGAACTCTGTCACTGTCATGAAAACACCTACCCTCACCACTCAGGTAAACCCCCTATGCACTTATGTAATTCCTTTACCTGGCTCAAGGCTTTATTCATGTTCAAACCTTTCTCTTAACAAAGACCTGATCACATAAGCATCAAAACAATAAACATACTTTCCTGATTCAAGAAGGAATTATGTTTTCAAACCTGAACCTTTTTTCAGACCCATCCTTCAACTCTTCTACAGAATTGCAAAACATTCTGAGGGCACTGCGGGCATTGCAAAGACCTGGAAGCTGTTGCTGCCCACAGGGCAGTCCAGCCAGTTATTACATTAAAGGGGCAGTTAGAGTTTATATAGACACAAGCTTGTTTCATTAACTCCATTTTTATGATAATCAAAAAAGTTATTTGAAACCAAATTTCATATCTATTCAACTCATCTTTTTTCCTGCTAACTAAATAATATTACTTATAAAGTTTTATTAGCTAAACTGTAAAACATGCTTTATAGTAAAAGCAATCCAGAAACACTTCCTTGAAAAGGGGGAAAGGAACTGGCTACTTCTGTCAATCTTAACACATGACTCTGCCAACAGAATTCTTTAAATTCTTAAGAAAACATTGCGAATTTTTTAGAGAAGACATCCTGTTCGCTTTACATAATTATTTTTGGTGCAACATTTGTAGGAAATTTCTCCTTTTATTTCAGGGAAGATTTATACAACCTTTGAGAGCCTGCAATCTAATCTGCTATGTCATCAAGATTTACTACCGCTGTAGCCACTACATGGACAACGAGGCAGGCCCTCTTGTAGATTCATAAAAAATGTGTGAAGCTCTCATACACAAATAAGCTATACCGCAAGAGCTGTGAGTGATGATACAGTACTGTGCACTATCATTTTCTAAAAGTCAAACTGGTGGTTGTGTCATTATTTCCATTTTCGTGCAGTTATCCTCCGAGGTGTTCTCTGTTTTTGATATGTCATTAAAGGTGTAGAGCAGTGCGAGTTTTCCGGCTCTGATAGAAAATGATAGACAAAAAAACATTTTTTTTTTCCTGTGGAAAGGTTAAATGTGGTACTTGGATACCAAACCCAGACCATTTCCATTTAATTATAGCTCCCTGGTGTAATTACACCTGTATAAATAGGTTGCGTTTTAATTTTCATTGATGTTAAATTCTACCAAGCAGTTAACAAAAATATATATTTATCAATTATGTATCTTTTTCAATTATTTTGTGAATCCATTTTCAGAAAGAAAAACTAAATCAAATATAATATTTCACCATGTTTTGAAGATATAGCTAAGGAAGTCTTGGGTTATTATAAAAGTATTTCAGCTAACCACTGTTAAGGTGCCATAGATCCTCTTTTATCACATCCAGTTAACATGCTTTAGGTACAGGGATAAATTCATACTTACTGGCTTTCTTTTGCTCTCTATGTTATTGTTTCATTTGCCTCAACCCTGAAATTGAATTCCCCTGGCCTCAAAAACTCCTTGTGCTTTTCCAGTTGTTTTTTTTCCTCATCTATGTGTGTCTGGTGATTTATTCAGATGGCTGACACTAAGGTAACTTTCCTCTCTATAGTTTGTACTTTTAGATAATAAACTCAACAGTAAAACTTAAACTCAAGCAACCTATGACATGCTTGTAGAGACTTTTTACACAATTTTGTATGGTTATTTTTTAGGCTTTTTTTGTGCAAATATAAAAGCTGTCAGTCATCATGCAACTTTAATCAGCATCCAACCTCATCAAGTGCACTCAAGAAATATCTGCTCTTACATTTTTTCCCTCTTTTTTAATTGTTTAATAAACATTTTCAGATCATCATACCAAAGTTAAAGTAATTACACACTAAGTAAATACCAAATGCATTTTACAAAGTTCTTACATATCAAGAAGTCCAAAACGACCAGGCTTGATGTAAAAAAAAGGAATTATGCCTTTAACCTCACAAGCTGCAGCACCACCCTTTGGCAATGGGTCGTTTACTTTGCTGTAGAAGGATTGTGAATCACTATTCTTTGCAAAATTGGTTCATCTCGGTGACTTTTTAGTATAGCAGTGGTCTCTTCCTAGTCTGTTAGTTATGGTACAGCATTTATTTTTTATTGTTAAAAAGATCCCCATTAGCTGTCCCCATTAGTGGGACAAGCTAGTCTTCCTGGGGTCCACAAGACAAAACAAAAATCACTTAATCAAACATCATAGACATTATTATAGAGTTCATCAGAAATCATTCAGAATAAGTTATTACATTCATATCTATTACATTAATTCTCACTTTCATACAATAAATATCTTAATTCACTACTCACAGATTTAAATAGTGCATTCTCAAGTAATAATTAAAAGATACCTTACTATTCAGTTCACATATATTCAGTGAGCAATTATTTAACAGATAAATGCACTTTTCTAGATGTTGTTCTCAATTATCTTAGGACCTCTTAACTTAGGTGATGCATTCTTATGAATAAATTCTAATGCTAGGTTAATTAGATCTTGTGTTTTTTCAAAGCAAACTATTTAGAGAAATACATGGCTTTTCAGGACACTTCCTCCTAGTCTAAAGCATCATCCTGTACAACTATGTAGTGAATTTTGTTCCATCTTGTTGCAAGCAAAGGGAAATAAAAAAAACAACACAATTTCTTAATGGAAGTTTGGAGAAAAAAAATGCTATCAATAAATGAAACCTTGAAAAGCTTAAAAAGAAAAAATAAGGTTTTCAGTAACTGCTTTTTTCACCACATATTTTTTCAGATGTTTTGTTTACATTTTAATTTTTTTAATTCTTTATTTTCAACTTTTAGTTTTTTTCAAATTGGATTAATTTTAAATTACATTTTACAGATCACATTCGTCCCACTTCTCAGGTGGATTTTCATCTCGATTATGGAGCCAACATGCATTTTTATCGGTTTACATGGACTTTATAACATCTTTATTGGATAATGTGTGTGTCAAGGGGTTAAAACTAAGAGCAATACATCTGTAAAAACCTTTTGAAAAAGAGAAACTTGAAAAATGTAATTAAATATCAAGACATCAAGTAAAGTTTGAAAAAAAGACATTTGAAAAAATAACATTCGAGTAAAAAATAAGAAAGCAATAATTCTCAAATCCTTTTTTCTGATTAAGGTGTTCTTAAAAGTTTATTATCCAGGTTGCATTTTATGTATTTATGCATATTCACTTTATGTAACCTCTATATGCACAAAAGTAATGCAGGAAAAGGTAACTTTTTTTTAACTCTGGGCCTCAGACAAACGTAAACATGTAATATCATTACAATACAGACAGATTAATAAAGCATATTTATTTTATTTCCCTGGTTGGGAAGCCTCTTGTGTTCTAGCACAAAAAAACTTTGTTGCATAGGTTTGCAAATTTGTATTCACATAAAACCCCGAAGGCTTGTAAAACATTTTTAAATGGTTTCTAGCTCACCACACAGCATTTGGCAAAAAATAATTAATAAAGAAGAAAATGAATTACATGAAATCACCCATCCTACAGATTGCCTTATGGTATGTCCTAAACCACAAGCTTAAATGCGAAGTAGGGTAACATAAGACTTGCACAACAACCAAATTTCACACAGTGGATTAAAATGAACCAAGCCTTTTATACTAGAGTATGTTCCTACCATTTGGAGAAAGAGATTTATACTGGTTTACAGATGGCGATTAGTTAAATCATTGCTGATAATAGACTTTCATCCAGCTCATTAGACTGTAGTGCATGCTCTTTTTTTCACACAGCACTTTTGTTTTTTAAATCATTAATGACACATTGTAATACACCATGTGTTGTTTGCCTTTCTTAGGTTGTATTTGCCTAATGGTGTGATGCTGTAAAAGCCTTGGCTTTTAAATATCTGCTGCCTTTCAAATCTCTAGAATTCTAACATTGTGTCTTTACCCATCACCATGGCTGTAAGCTGCAGCAAACGAGGAGGAACAGTTGACAAATCTTGACTTTCACTAAAAGGACAGCTAGCCCACAAGCCTGCTTCAGGATCCACATAATCAGGAAAGAGCTGAGTCTGGGATGTCTCCCTTTGTTCATCACGTCTTCTCTTCCTCTCCTGTCCTCCAGAGGCATATGCTTAAGCAGCTGAATGGCCATGCGATGAAGGCACAGTTCTGTTTCTCCTAGAGAGCTTTGCAGGTCAGCTCTGGTTACCTCTTTGCTAACCTTGTCTTACTCGCTAATGTGGGCCCAAGGGTGCAAGCTGCAAAGGAGCGACTGTGCATGTAAAGAACCTGAGAAAGTATTATTTTGCTCCACCAGGAAGACACAGAATTGAGTCTACCACTAACAGATCATCTGCACACAGTCACCTTTTTGGTGCCATTGTTTTCCTCTCATTGCTATATAAAATTTGCTGTGTTTTTATATGACCTTAGTGGACACCATGCCCGGTTCCATTTTATGCCACTGATCCAGCAGTTGAGCAGCTAGTAACGAGTCTTGAATTCTAAATCTTTACAGCCAGTCCCTCCTCTAAACTGTTATTTAACAAAAGCCTTTACTGTTCCTGGAAAAGACATGACTGTTTCCAGTGGTGTCTAAATTGGCTCCAGGAGAACCTCAAGGGATCATGATAAGACTAACACATTTATTTTCACCCTCATCTCTGTATTATTTCATTACACTTTCTCCCAACTACTGCAGTAATTAAAAATTAGGCACAGAAAGCTGCCACTGGTCCACTATATATATATATATACACTATATTGCCAAAAGTATTTGCTCACCTGCCTTGACTCACATATGAGCTTAAGTGACATCCCGTTCCTAATCCATAGGGTTCAATATGACGTCGGTCCACCCTTTGCAGCTAGAACAGCTTCAACTCTTCTGGGAAGGCTGTCCACAAGGTTTAGGAGTGTGTTTATGGGAATTTTTGACCATTCTTCCAGAAGCGCATTTGTGAGGTTCCACACTGATGTTGGACGAGAAGGCCTGGCTCTCAGTCTCCGCTCTAATTCATCCCAAAGGTGTTCTATCGGGTTGAGGTCAGGACTCTGTGCA